ACAACATTTTATTACCAGGAAATCTCCTGGATTCCTTTATCTAAGCTTTTGAATCAGAAAGAAAACAAAGTTATGAAACGTAGCTTAAAAGATATAACTTAATGAAAATTTAAAATACGGACAATATCATTTTTTGCTACTTATATTTTCAATTCGTACATGTAGGTATAAGTTTATATTATAGAGTGTTTTTTATGTATCAAATTCTCGTATTAATAGTATTTACTAAATGAAATATTGCTATACGTCAAACTATGTAAGTTCTACGGCTACCGAAGTAAGAAGTAAGTGTCACAGTTAAATAAAAAATAAAGAAAGACGTATTTAAATACATACCTATTTCATATGCCAGCATAAGCCTATGTCACTTTTAAGGCCCATAAACTTTTTCTATGCAAAAAAAACGCTTGTGCTACGATAGATACAAACCAACAAACAATTTATAACTGTATAAGTAAAGACTTCACACTCACTCTTCCTTTATGTACCTATCTGTTTGTATACCAATACGGACCTGCTTCATCTGTCTGATAACGTGATTAGTTAATAATACGGAATATTTTAGCTATTGATACAGGTATTTTTAATTTATTTCCCTTCAACGTACGTTCACCTTGTCATGGTGGAGGCGCTGATTAGCGCCCGGCAGTTCAGCCGGTCGCGAAGCCAAGAAACGCACAGGGACGTGGCCCACTTCGGTGGGCGGTGTGCCATGCGGGTTGCTCTTGGTACTTCTGTGATAGCAGAGTGGACTGTTGGAGTGACCCCGTGGTTGTTGTGGTCTGCTTCGGTAGACCTGCCGTCGGGGCATCGTGGTTGAGTGCACAAGCGATCCTGCGACGCCCCATTAGGACGGGGAAGGTTTGTTGGGTTTTAGTGTGTAGTATCTACCTACTGATTGTTCTAGCCGGTGAGTCCCACATAACCACCTGTATGTCTACAGGTGGTATGCGTAAATGCAATTTTCAACATAAAAAAAATGTATTTTTAATATGTTATGATGTCAATCTGGTAAAATAACTAACAGTTAAATTATTAAAGTTCATTAGATTGATTTCGCTAGAGAAAGAGCTTTATTCATATAAATTCGGTGAAAACAAAAGCGGAAACTAACTTGTTGGAAACTACCGTAGAATTGAGAGGAGATTGCAGAACGAAATGTTCAACCTGCAGCATGGGATGCTTTATGTAGCTCGGTAACAGTGATTAGCAAAGCCTATTTAAACTATCTTTATAGAAAAGAATAATAGATATATTCACTTTTAGATTGTAAGCAAAATTAAGCTAACAATAAGCAAATCACGTTTTAATTTTAACTCACGTTGAAATCAAGAAGTGTGGATGATGGGTACTACTACTTGGTATGCCGATTATCGCGGGTTGAATAAATATTCAAATTTTTATATATTTAATATGTCTTGGTCTAGTTAAGGCAAGAATTAACGTTTAGTTTTTTTAATTAACTCGTAGTCTCTCAATGGCGTGGAGCAGAGAAATACATATAATTCCGATGTGTCTAACTTGTTATCAACAGTTTTGTTCAAAAATATGGGGTAAATTTGACGACACGTTTGGCTCAGTTTGTAGTGACCCTACTTGCTGTGCGAGCGGTCGCAGGTTCGAGTCCCGCTGAGGGCATTCCAGTCATGGGTGTTTATATTTATAATATGTATCTATTCAAAGTTATATAGGTATGTGTAGGGTATCAACTATCTGGTATTCATAACACATAACTGCCTCGGTGGTGTAGTAGCTATCATGTACGGCTGCACATCCGGAGGTCCTGGGTTCGAGTCCCGGGTCGGGCCAAGTTTATTATTGAGTCTTTCTGTATAGTAAGTCTCAGTAACCGCCCGGAGTTGGGAAGTTGGCGGTGTTTCACCCCCGTGCCTCGGAGAGCACGTAAAGCCGTCGGTCCTGCGCCTTAACTCTCACTGGTCGTGTCGAGCAGTCGTCCCACCGGAGTATGAGAGTGACAGGAATAGAAAGTGCACTTGTGTCTGCGCGTACACTTGTGCACTATAATATCTCCTGCGCAGTTGGCTAGTCTCTATGAGATTGGCCGCCGTGACCGGAATCGTTCAGGAGAGCATCATTCATAACACAAGCCTCGTAGCTTACCATGGAACTAGATGGTGCTGTGTGTTAATGTCCCAACATATTTATTTATTTATAAATGGGTTACTAATCAAAATTGCAAAAAGAAATTATTTATTTATTTATTTGTAAAAAGCACACTTACAACATACATATGAAACATTTTCAATTTAATTAATGTAATAATAATATACCTTATATGCATGTCAATTATAAGTGTGCATAGCATTTCCAGATTCATGAATTAAAAGTACAAAAAATTAAAAATAATAATAACAATAATTATAGATAAATGTCATATTACAAAAAAAATATGATAATAATATATAATAATAAGAAGTAATATTAAAATCATCATTATAACAAAAAAAAATATAATCATTAAGATTAACAATCATGCATTTTATAATAATTAAATAACTTATTTCTAAAAATTGATGTAGAGTCATAAAAAATGTCAATGTCAATGCCAGGAATTGATATAATTAAAAATATTAACTTTTACTTTTTTACTGATCGATGATGAAAAACAATCATCATTCCTATCCTGAAAGCCTGTCTGACAGTAAGATAACTATAAAATTTTTGTAGCAATTGAAAATTTCGATATTCAATATCGTAAAGTATATACGAAACAGGTACTAAGCGTGTCGATCCCACACGCACGTCCCTGGTAGGTAATTTAGCGACATTACGGCAGCGTTTTATGACGATGGCTAGCTGTAATTTCTCTACATATAGGCAGGGCAGTTCATGTACGCGTGTCGTAATAGAGTTCTCACGGGCCCTTTTCGTAATCCCACGTGATATGAAATCTAAGTAGTTAGAATTTTCTTCAAATTTGTTAATTAACCTATAGAACTGACCAATCATTAAAATTTAATAATACTTAGGTCATTCTATACTATGTTAGTACAACATTCTTATTTATTAATGCGAAAGTTTCTATGAGTGTACTCGTATGTTTGTTTCTTGTTCTTAACGAAACAGCTGGACGTATTTAAAAATTTAGTAGGTACATAGATAACGTATGACCTGGACTTACACATAGGCTACTATAAGGCACGTAGAGATGTACCTATACGTTGGAAAGAGAAATAGATAATAAAACATTTTGCAATATTCATTTAATGTTTAAGTCCATTTGTTAAAAATTAATTTCCATAATAAAAAAAAAACAACTGCATAAAAAGCGAACTAAAAAGATAAGAACAAGTTGACGAAGGAACACAGTAATTTGCAGTTGGAGACATATAGGACATATACATACATACGCAACTATTAGAAAACTAAAAAATATTATGTATTTCTCCGAACTTATTAGTACCGTATATACTTTTATATATGTACTAGTATTGCCCGCGGCTCCGCCCGCGTTCAGATGACCAAAAACCAAATTCTTAGGTTTTACATATTAGTATACTCTTACAATGCAGTTTTTGTATTTTTTCTCAGAAATGAGACATTTTCCCGCTGTAAAAAGTATCCTATATGTTGACCCGGGTAGCTATCACCATACCAAATTTCATAAAAATCCCTCGAGTGGTTTTTCTGTGATGCGGTAACAGACAGACAGACAGACAAAAATTCTAAAAACTATTGATTCGGCCTCTGTATCGATAATAATGTTTATTTCAATAAGATTTTCCAAAAAATATTTAATGTACAGATTCGCCTTACTTACAATTTTATTATATGTATAGATAAATACATTTAGTAAAAAGTTGTTATTTAGTCATTACAAACAGACACTTCAATTTTATATATTTGTATTGATGTCGAATATTTACAATAAAATAACCATTAATGTGTCTATTTACAATAATTTATTTGTGACAAATACAAGACTTATAAATTAAGATATTTTAGATAACGATATCGACAAAGCTAAAGTGATGACCTCGTATAATTCAGATTTAGAAGTGTTTTATGATTTTTTTATAGTGTTATGCATACTTGATTGCTCTATAAACTAGCTTATTAACGTATTGGTTCGGCTTCAAAGGCCAACCGGATGTGGCCCGCTATCTGTCAAGGTGATCGTTCGTCTGATGCATTCCGGCACATTATTGTCGTAGGACGGGAAAATAGGTCTTCTTGTCTAGCGCAAGGCAAAGTAAAGCTATTTATGTAATCGAAGATTTATTATCGCGAATAAGTAAATGTCTTAAGCTTAATGAATAAATGTCTTAAAAAAAAGGCAGTGGTAGCCCAGTGGTAACGGGTTCAAATCTCGGGTCTCGCACCTCTGATATTTTCATGTGAGAATCATTTCCAACATGATTACCACTTGTCTTAACGCTGAAGGAAAACATTGTGAGGAAACCTGCATGCCTGAGAGAACCTAGCAAGTTTTCAAAAGACATGTGAAGTCCGCCAACCCGCACTTGGCCAGCGTGGTGGACTATGGCCTGATCCCCCTCGTATTGAAGGGAGGCCCGTGCCCAGCAGTAAGACATTAAAAAGGGCTGTATACATACACACACAAATGTCATAAAATCACAAATTAATAGAATTAGTAGTTTCATGTGATTATAAAAGTTAATGAGCATACTTTCTTATTCGTTAATATGCATATTGCATATACGTAATTATTTTTTATGGTTAACGATTGTAATTTCATTCAAAATGGCTTTATTATTCAAAAACCTTCCTTATTTTTTTCCTCTTATTCAAATACCTATTCCATGTAATATTTTAATTTATTATACGTATTAATTTACATAAAATGAGCAACAAATTGAATTCCAATACGCATAAAACAGTTTCTTTTTAGAAAAAATTGCCAGTTGTCATAATATATGCTTTGATAAAACATTCATAACCCTATATACGTACAGTAACGTCTTATCTATAATTTATTTAGATATATTTTATAATATGTGTATAGAATTAGAATATCATATATTTTTTTGCATAATATTTGGCAACATGGATTTCTCAAGTCCAATTAAATATTTCGCCATAGGATTTCGTCTGATCTTTAATAACTCTTTGAAGATGGCATCGATATATCTTCGTTTAATTAACTGCCTCGATGGTCTAGTAGTTAGCATGTACGGCTGCAAATCCAGAGGTCCTGAGTCCGAGTCTCGGTTTGAGTAACAGTCCGGAGTTGGAAAGTTGGCGGGTGTTTCACTCCCGTGTCTCGGAGAGCTCAGAGCATGTAAAGCCTTCGGTCCTGCGCCTGAACTCTCACCGATCGTGTCGAATTGTTGTCCCATCGGAGTATGAGAGTGACAGAAATAGAGAGTGCACGTTGTGTCTGCGCGTACACTTGTGCACGATAATATCTCCTGCAGTTGGTTAGTCTCAATGAGATTGGCCGCCGTGGCCGAATTCGGTCAGGGGGACATTAGTATTATCGTTGTTAATATTTTCATTTAGTAGTTTCAGTATGTCGCTACGCATTGAGACACGTATATGGGCCATAAATATAAAGTAATTTTAATCGGAACATTAGTATGCCACGGGTGGTGGTGGTGGTGAATGGTAGGTGTATCAGGGCTAGGTCATATCGTATCGGTATACATACTAGATTAAATCTTAGACTCCCTATGTTAATTTGAAGAAAAAGTAATGAAAATAATTTTATAGAATACTAGCATTGCCCGCGGCTCCGCCCGCGTTCAGATGACCAAAAACCAAATTCATAGGTTTTTCAAATATAAGAATACTCTTACATTGCAGCTATCACCATACCAAATTTCATCAAAATCCCTCCAGTGGTTTTTCCGTGATGCGGTGACAGACAGACAGACAGACAAAAATTCTAAAAACTATCGGTCTTTGTATCGATAATAATATCTATTTCAATAAGATTTTCTAAAAAATATTTCATGTACAGATTCGGCTTAGTTTGAATTTTATTATATGTATAGATACTTAGTAGGTAATAAATTCGCTTGTTTCTTTTTGTATAGCAAAATAGCGGCAAATGACAACCAATATGATTAGCATAACGTGCTTGATTCAATATTTTTATAACTAGCGATATGTCCACACTTCAATCTAAAGTTAAAATATTTAATTAATATTTTAAGGTTCTCGTTTTCTACTTTATATAGATATATCGGTAATACAGGATGATTACGAGGAAGGATAAATATCCTAAATATCTAATTCAGAATGATTAGATTTCGGAGATTTAGTAGTGAGTCAATCAGACTTATGTAGTATCGAGGCAAATATTTTATTGCTTTTTATATAGGTAGGATAAAACTTCTATCTTGTTAGTTTTATTGACCTACATACAAGAACATTTTTTTATATAATAAAATATTCTCGACTCTTACATTATATAAGCATCTCTACATGAGACCAAATGCCAAATAGTATAAGTTATTAGCAGATTGTCGGCTTCGTATATAATTAAGATAATGGCTTACACAATATTAGCGAAACGTGATTAAGATTAGGCATTCAGAATATTTTTAACGCTACATCTACACTTATATTATAACGAATAAAGATTTGTATTTTTGAATGTTTGTATGTTTGTAACGAATAAACACAAAAATTACTGGACCGATTTAGATGAAATTTGGTAAGAAATTTGAGTCCTAGGGAAGGTCATAGAATATTTTTTATTCCGAAAATCATCCCTTAATGGACTAAAAATGGGGATGAAAGTTTGTATGGGGAATCAACCTAGGCCTAACTTAACCTAACCCGACGAAGGTTACGAGGGCCAGTCACTACTTTTATTATATATTATTTGTTGTGAAATATTAGACAATAACTATATAAGTTGTGTTTATTCATATATGTACCTAATTGTTTTTATCATTTTTATAGTAATTTAAAAATTTATATATTTGCTCCATTGCGATAGAATAATAAAGGGGGAATTTACCTAATATTAGGGGTTTAGTTTTTAATGATTAAATTAGCGATCCACTTTTTAAGCGGTTTGGATCGTTGCCTAAATTTAGCAAACAATAAAGCAATTTATCTATTTACTCTAAAACTGACTGATAGATTTGTTTATTTTATTAATTAGTCAAAGACCACTCTGTTTATTTCATTGTTTGCACAGGTTATTTTATTGCATTATTTATTTATTTAAAATAATTAATTTTAAATATTTGTATATGTATTTGAATTTTTAATAGGTAATATAATAATATAGGTTTTTTATATATTTATAGTATTTTGTATATGTTTGGCATTTGTTTAACAAAAACGTTTTTTTAAAGAGATAAAGAGTTTTTATTGTTATTACATCATAAACCTATTATATGAACTAACTTAATTTGCACAATTCGCAATAAATTTAAGTGTCAAAAAAGTTACATCATTAGGTATTTATATTTAATGTTTTTATTTTTTTAATACGGTACGGTTACGATAGTTTAAGGATTTCTTTACTAATAATAATAATAATAATATATATATATATATAAAATAGTATATAAATATTATGTGAACAAAATTACTTCGAAGACGCAACGGCCTATCCTTTTTAACCAAAATTGCACATCGAGTTTTCTAATAAACTAAAACGGTTCCAAATATGATTACGAAATATGTTATAGGCACAAGCTACTTTCATTCAATTCACCTTTGCAGAAGTAGCCATCCTATTTTAATCTGCCGCGTCATTCTAACCTTTTAAGTTTTAAGCGTATTTTTTTTTAAATCTGATCGCCTTTGAACTTTGTTCTTCTTTAAACAGGCCAATTCTTTATCCATTTTAAAACATTAATCATAATTTATTATTTGACTTTATTTGTTTAATACTTTCTTAGATTTACGCGAATATTTGACATTTTAAATAAAACTATCTTTTCGGATTATTTCGCGGATTTATTTTAATTTTTGGTTTCCGACGTTTCGTTTCGTTTTTTGTTGTTTACTTTTATTTACATAAATGTCCATACTCAATTATATTTTATATAATAATGTATGTATATTTGTATTTATCTATATATGTATACATTTATATATAATAATAAGGCCCTCCTGATTTCCAACTGCGCAGGAGATGTTATAGTGCACAAGTGTGCGCACAAACACAAGTGCATTCTCTTGTTTATTGCACTCTAAAACTACTATGGGATGACAATTAGTGAGATTTGATGCAGGTCCAACGGCTTTATTTGTCTTCGAGACAGGGGGGTGGAACACCGCCAACTTCCCAACTAAGGATGGTTTTTAGAACTTCTTGATAGAAAAACTCAGTAACAAAACTTGGCACGACCAGAGATTCAAACCCGGATCCTCCGAGTCTTCTAGTCACCAGATCACGTCTTGTTGTAAATACCTGTATAGTATTTGGTATATATTATTTAAAACGTTTACAGCACACTACTTTTATTTTAAATTTTTCCTCCTAAAGCCTTGTCTGGAAGAGATAACTTATGATCTGTACTGTAAATGTCAAAAATACTTTAATTTAAAAATTTCGTCCAAATATCCTTCAAAATACCCATCAAATTATTTTTTATAAAACACAATATGAAACAGATAAAATTATATGGGATTTAACACTTAAAATTACAGTTAAACCATAAAATCTCGTAACAAGTGCAATCAATAAAGAAATATTACAGTGCCGTACGCTGTAATGCAATGTGCGCGCCGAAGTTGTCCAAAAAACTCGTGCGCAGCTCGCTCGACCAGTTTGTGCGTTCGCAGAAGCGCGAGAAAAAAAGCGAATTGCCATTTAGCTCCGAGAATGTCGTCAAGGATTTCAACTTTAAACGGCATATGCTGAAACAGCCAGCTAGAGAAGTCTAGGCAAGTAATACCTACTCTTGAGACTTAGATTGGACAGTCTTCAGGTTAAGCTCATGGGATAGCTTAGAGTTAAGGTTTTTTTACAGAAATCTCTTTAAAATAACGTGTACTCCCCTTCCTTAGAAAACTCGTATATATTTTACTTACTTATAAAACAGCAACAGGAGCTTTATGAGTAAAAATATTAGTCTTGAAGCAATTATTATCTGTTTATCATTATAACTACCTATTTGTTTTTCTATAAGATTGTATATAAATTGTTTGTGCTTATTTAAGTTATGGTCAAATTTTAATATTATCTTGATAAAGTAAGAAGTTCAATATCCATATTGAGCTTTTTATACTTCTTGTGATAATACGCAATATGTAAAATATATTGCGAGGATCACGATTGTCTGCAAAGTACCTAATTGATATTACAAGAACTCATAAACTCGCTTGGGGTTAAATTACATATCTAACTGTTATTCAATTATTTTTGTTGCATGGCTTTTAGTCGTGCCAGAAAATAATCTATACAGATAAATAAAATTGAAGTGTCTGTTTGTAATGTCAAAATCATATACAGTATTTATTCGAACATATTTTTTTTTTAATTTTTGTCTGTCAGTCTGTTCCGGTTAATCTCCGAAACAACTGGACTGATTTTAACGGGACTTTCACTGGTAGATAGCTGATTTTATAAGGAGTAAATAAGCTATTTTTATTTTAGAAAAAGAATTAGGGTTCCGATTAAAAAAATTAAGACGTACCTACGTACTAGGGACGCGCCCAAGCGAAGCGAGGGTAGCTCGCTAGTATAGTTATAAAAGTAGTATAGACAAAAAAAAAATGTATTAATAATGTCTATACTACGTAGATAATTTACGTTTAAGATTAAAAAATTAGTAAGTCTTTTACAGCTATATCTATACCTACATATAATAAAATTGTAACTAAGTCGATTCTGTACATTAGATATTTTTTGGAAAATCTTATTGAAATAGACATTATTATCTATACAGAGTCCGAATCTATAGTTTTTAGATTTTTTGTCTGTCTCTCTGTCTGTCTGTTACCGCATCACGAGAAAACCACTCGACAGATTTTGATGAAATTTGGTATAATGATAGCTGGTTATTAGGGTCAACATATAGGATTTACCGCGGACCTTTTTACCGCGGAAAAATATCTCTGAGAAATCTTATTTCTGAGAAAAAATACAAAAACTGCATTGTAAGAGTATACTAATATGTAAAACCTAAGAATTTGGTTTTGGGTCATCTGAACGCGGGCGGAGCCGCTGGCAATGCTAGTAATTAATAATAGTGAAGCCATAATCTATTCTAATATTATAAAGAGGAAAAATTTCTTTTTTGGTTGTTTGTTTGTTTGTACCGAATAGGCTCCGAAACTACTGAACCGATTTAGATGAAATTTGGTAAGAAGATAGTTTGAGACCCTGGGAAGGATATAGTTTCTATCCCAGAAATTATCCCTTAAA